TGAATAATGATAATCTTTAAAATAACATCAAGATTATGTTTTAGCTTAGCATTCTCTCTCTATATATAAAAAAACTTAGGAAAAAACAGAATGAAGAAGAAAGCTCAGATAATACACAGTGTCAGGGTGTTCAAAGTAAATGTGTATAACATGGTTCTCAATCTTTATCACGAAATATACATGATGAAGAGACTCACATGTATGTTTTAGAACTTTATAAGAAGATTTCACTTTTTTTATATTGTAACTAAGCTGCGAATTCTATACCTTGTTCCCTAGATAGTACCATTAGTTATTTGTTCTCATATAGCTCTGTATGATCTTACTATATCAAAATATATCTTTTATGTCAAGTATTTAAGAACATGACATAGATTCATTTAGTATGCCATTGGATCAATGACTCTGTGTAAATGTATGCTCTAATAGTCCATCATATAGAGTATTAATGCACTCCAGTTTGTACCTGGAAAATATGTTTTCCCTAGTGAACTTCACAGGGCATGTATATTATGTGGACATTTAATTTTTTTTATTCAAACACAAAACTCCAGACAGGATAACTTAGCAAATTACCAAATTTTTAAAAATACATTCTCATATCTATATTATTGAGAATATTTTAGTATTTGTAGTATTGCTTGTGATGACTGTATGATTATTTTTATTTATGAGACACATACCTTTAAGTGATCTTGGATATGCTACATATCAACCAAGCATCTTTAAAAGAATAGAACAAATAGAAGGTAAATTATAGATGCAAAGATAGGTACAGACAGGGGAGATAGACAGAGACAGACAGACAGACAGACAGACAGACACACAGGTAGATAGATAGATACATGTTTTAAGGAGAATTAACTGGAAATTTTTACATAATGAAAACCATAAATTTGAACACTGGCAATCTGAGTGCTGGAAATATGGAAAACCCAATAGGTGAGAATACCAGCTTGTCTACTTCTCTGAAAGACTCCATAGGCTTAAAGTCTCCAAAAGGCTCCACTGCATTCAGGGTGACTGTATTAACAGCAGGTAATAGTCAAACTCAGGTCCAAAATCAAGCTAGTAGAAAGAAAAAGAACAATACAAAGAATAAATGAAACCAAAAGCTGGATCTTTGAGAAAAACAACAAGATACATAAAACCCTAGCCAAAATAACTACAGGGCCAAGAGATAGTAGCCAAATTTACAAAATGAGAAATGATATGGAAGACACAATAGAAACTGAGGAAATTCAAAGAACCATCAGATCCTACTACAAAAGCCCATACCCAACAAAATTAGAAAATCAAGTTGAAAGAGATGATTTTCTACACAGATACTAAGTACCAAAGTTAAATCAAGAGTAGGTAAACTATCCAAACATATCCACTAAAGAAATAAAAGAAATCATTAAAAAATATCCCAAACAAAAAAGCACAGGGCCTTAGGTTTTAGTGTAGACTTCTACCAGACCTTCATAGAACTAACACCAAGAATCCTTAGATTGTTTCATTAAATTGAAACAGAAGGAACACTACACAATTCATTCTATGAAGCCACAGTTACTCTGACTTCTAAACTACACAAGGACCCAATTTAAATAAATAAGACAACTTCAGACAAACCTCGTTTATGAATATAATGCAAAAATACGGCAACAAAATGTTTGCAAACAGAATCCAAAAAGACAACAAAACCATTATACACCACAATCTAGTAAAGGACTTCCCAGGGCTGCAAGGTTGGTACAATGGATAAAAATCCATTAATGGAATCCAGTATACAAACAAACTCAAAGAATAAAAATCACATCTTCATCTCATTAGACTATGTAAAAGTAAGGGACAAAATATAAAAATACTTTGTGTTAGATGTATTGGTGAAATCAGGAATTCAAGGCCCATAAGTATACAAAATAACAGTAACATACAGTAAATCAACAGCCAATTTTGAAGTAAATGACAAGATGAGATACTTGAAGAAATCCCACTAAAATCAGGGACAAGACAAGGTTGTCCACTCTCCCGATTTGTATTCAGTATAGTTTAAAGTTCTAGGTAGAGAAATAAGAGAACAAAAGGAGATAAAGGAGATACAAATTGGCAAAGTAGAAGGCAAGGTCTAACTATTGCAGGTGATATGACAGTATACATAAGCAAACCCAAAGATTCTACCAGAGAACTTCTACAGCTGATGGATGGATATAAAATTAACTCAACTAAATCAGTAGCCTTCCTTTCTACAAATGATAAACAGGCAGAGAAAGAAGTTAGGAAAATCAAGGACCTCAACAGAGAACCAGATACACTGAATCTAATAGAAGAGAAAGAAGGGGGAAAGAACCTGGAACTCATTTGCAGGAAAGTGAGGGTTAATTTTCTGAGCAGAACTCCAAAGGTTCAGGCTCTAAGGTCAAGAATTGATAAATGAGAGCTCATGAAACTGGAAAGATTTGTATCCCTAAGGACCTAGTCAATAGGACAAATCAGCAACCTATAGAGTGATAAAAAATCTTTACTAACCTCATATCTGATAGAGGGAAAATATCCAAAATATATAAAAACGCTAACCACCAGTATTCCAAACAAGCCAATCAAAAAATTGGGTAAAGACCTAAACAGAGAATTCAAAACAGAGGATTAATAAATGGCTATATTTTTGATCATAGCCATTCTGACTTGGGAGAGGTCAAATCTCAGGGTCGTTTATATTTGCGTTTCTCTGATGAGTTAGGATTCTGAACATTTGTTTAAGTGCTTCCCAGCCATTCATTATTCCTCTGTGGTGAATTCTGGTTAGTATGAATCTGTGGAAGACATACCAAAACATGACACAATGCAAAATACATTTAGTCCATCTTCAAACATCCTTATACTTTATAGCAGTTTCAACAATGTTAAAAGTCTCAAGTTCTAAGACTCTTCTGAGATTCACCAATAACTTAATTGTAGTTACCAAAACAACACAGGAAGCAAGCTGGGAAAGCTCTACTTCCACTCTATCTCCACTTCTGATGTCAAAATGGTTTTCAGATCTCCAACCACTTTTTCATCTTTGTTGACTGCAACAAACTTCTTCCCCCTGAGCTGGTTGTATACTCAGTTAGAGGTTTTTCTCAGCACATAGCCCATCTTAGACATCTTGAGGTCTCCAAGGAAACTTCAGTGTTACAGCTTCTTGTTTCAATGTCTCTGTTCTATGAATTTTCTTCTGATGTCTTAAAATGTTGTGGTGTCACATCTCCAGCTCCTTCCACTTTAACTGCCTAACTCAGGTTGATCCACTCCACTGCTGTTGCTGTTCTTGGTGATCAACTACCTTGGATGATAGTTTCAGTTATGGGTCTTCAACAGCAACTGAGGCTGCACGTTCACCAATGGCCTTCCATGGACTCTCACAGTGCCAAGCCTCAGCTGTTCTTCATGATGCCTTCAGGCATTCAAAACCTGGACCTCCTGAGTGACTCTTACATATTAGCAAGTACAGCTGCAGCATGAGGTACAAACTTATCTATCTTTGGAAAGAGCTTTCCTGTGCTCTCAGAAAACTCTTCTCAGAAGATATCACATCAGTGAAGCTGGGCTTTTCTTAATCACTACACATTTCTCAGCTCCAGCTAACCAGCATCAATAGTCCCAGTAGGTGTGTGTATTCTGAACTCTGAAGCCAGAGCCATGTAGACTAACTTTGAATTCAGTGATCTGCATGCCTTTCTCCTAAGCACTGGGATTAAGGGTATGGTTCACCAAGGGGGATGATTTAACTTTTTGTTTACCTAGAAAGGTAAACAAAACCTTTCCGAGGGTAGCCTTGAACTCAAAGATTTGCTTATCTTTGCCTTCTGTGATTAAAGCCTCCTACTACAGTGCCTGGACATAAACTAAGCTGGGTGTGATCTTGTACTAAAGTCATTACTTCCTTAATTAAATTTAGTGTCTTTAAAAACAGGATTCAGTTACATATGACTTCCTGGTGCATTTTTAACGACATATATTATATATTTTTCCTTTCTAAACTTGCTATGATTGGTCTAAATGTTCTTCATGACACTAATCCAGATAATGAAGACTCTGCTAGGACATTTTGAGACTTCCTTTTTCAGTGTAATTAACATACATCTCTTTACCTTAGCCTCAGCTAGACACTTCATACAAAGGCAAAAAGCAGCCTCATTCTAAACCAAATTCCCACAAAACATTATCTAGGCCACAAATTCAAATTCTCCACTGAAACCTCTTGTGTGAAGTCTACACTGTTCAAATTACTCTCAGCACAAATCTTCCATATTCCTACTAGAATGTCCCATTATACCCCATTTCAGGCATTCCACTGTTTTCCAAATCCAAAGTCTCAAAATCTACATTCATCCAAACAAAAGTGTTTTTGTTTGTTTCCTCTTCTTTACTACAAAATTATACAAAGCTGTACCTCTCCCCCCCACACACGCACAGTCACTCAAACAAAAAATTTAGTTTGGTATTAATTTGTTGCAATTTTTTTTAATTCATGTTTAATCCCTTTTAGTTTCACTAGCTTAATTCTTATCATTTTGTTGGCACTGGTTGCAAGTCTACCTGGCATACTTCTACACACATATTTATGGACCAACTTCTCTGTGATCCTCTGTATATATTTGTCTATATATTTCACTGTATTTTACTCGTAGAACTGTCTATTGACTGTTAGTCTATTTTTCCAATTGCAAGGAAAGTATCTGTGTTTATGTGTATCCATCATTCTAAAGATATGTATACACAAACTCACAAAAAAAGATGGTAAGATAGGTAGATGTCTTTATTTTTGAACCTCTTTTACAAGTTGACATGGGACAAAGGTTAAGGTGTGAAAAATCCTATAAAGAATTCCAGTGCAAATTTCAGAAGAGTCGGCTGTGAAGTGTGTGCAGAGCCTGAGAGCCAGGGGTTATCTTGTGCCAGTTCCTCAAGGGGAGAGTGGGTATGTCAAGTCCATCAGAGTCCAGGAGTTGTGGGCATTCTGATTTTAGAGAGATTCACTTTTTAGATAACCTATAGCTGTAGGCCCTGAGAGCCTTGGCCATAAGAGGAGCAGGTCTCTTAGCCTGGGCCTTTTTGCTGCTTCTCTCTCCAGAGTTCAGGCAGGAACCTCTCTGTGCTCGGGGATGGGTAGGAGCCTCAGGAAGACTGTGTGTATGTTGGGTAGAGGCAACCCCTCTGCGTCCAGGCTCTCCTTGTTGTCCAGGACTCTTGTGTTGATTGTAGAAGGAGACCATTATTGTCTGTCTGGCTTGCTGCCTCTTGGTACTTTGGCTTTTGATGTGGGCTCTCAGTCTTTTCAGTCTCTCCTCTTGGGACTCCGGAAGCTGCAGGCCTGTGTGGGACTCAGGATGGCTATTGGTTTGCTTGCAGGTTTCGTTCTCTGGCCAGGATATCTCTTCTGGCTGCACAGGCCCAGCAATGTCCTTACAAGCCTGGCAGTGGACAATATCCCAGGTTCCTGAGGGATCCTCATCAAGGAGCCATAGGTTGGCTTTCTGCTGGAGACAGTCTGCAGGCCTGCGACCTGAATAGACTTGGGTCTTGTGGTTCTTCCTCAGTGCCCACCCCCAAGCTGGGGCTTCTTGTTCCTGCTCAGGGGAAGATGACTCCAAGACAACATCCCTTGGGAAGCAGTCTTGTCCATTGGAGTGAGACTCTTGAATGGAGCAGGCAGTGATGAGACTCAGATCCTTGGGGCTTGGACACTCACATGAAGGTACCTTTGCAGGAAGCGTCTGCACCTCAGCTTGACAGAGAAGTTGCCTCTTCCTCTTGAAGGGTGGTGAGACCTAAGAGGAAGGAGAACATCAATCAACATTGAGGCAAACCCACAATAAACCAGCCCCAGCAGGGTTCCTCCTCCTCCCAGTGGCCTGTTGGCTGGCTCTTTCTGTACCCCAAAACACAAGCCACTTGTTTTTCCCTGTCCCAGCCCCTGGCTTTCTGGAGAACAGGTTGGCTCCTTCATGCCACCAAGGCTCCTTCAGGCTTATCCAGGGGATTCTTACCTGCACCACGTTCTGGCCAGCTAGCTGCTGCTCATGGCTCCGTTTTGCTCCATGATCCCGGCTTCGACTGCTAGATTCCCAAGGACTGGACCTTATGTGTGATGTTTGGCTTGGGTTCAGGTGTGAGATTTTGTCGGGACTGCAGCTGCTGAGTCCAAAGTAGTCCTCTATGCCAGCTTCTTGGTTTTCCTGTGATGTGGGTTCATGGGGCTTCTCTTCTGGAGAGTTGCTCTGGTGGTAGTCTCCTGTGAGGCTTTTCTCCAAGCCAAAGTATTGTGTGACCTCTGGGAACCCAGCAGACCATTTGGCTACTAAGTCCTTTACGAATTTCACTAGAAGTTTTTGTTTCTTTAAGCGCTTGATGGTCTCTCTGAAGCCAATCTCTCCCAGTCTTTCACACAGGATCGGCACAGTAGACATTTCCTTGAGTATTTTGTAGATCTTTTTTGGTCGGTCTCTTGGCACAAGGAATCCAAGAGATCTTGCAGAACAGCTGTCTGAGAGCTCGACTCCATCTGTACTAAAACTGTCAGGATGGGATCAATCTAAATGCTCTCTTAATGTTCCACTCAGCTTGTGTCTGCCTCTAGTCAGGTGTGTGGTCTCCTGAGCAAAGCACACCTACACAAGAGGTCCAGAACCTAGTGGTCCTGTCTTCTGTTGACACTGCCCTTTTATACTTGCATTGGGAAGGTGGAGCTTGCCACGCCTGGTTTCTAAGCCATGCCCACTGGCCAATTCTCAAGCCTTCCTGTCTGCCTACAAGCCCTAACCTGACAAAACTGGCTCCTGACTTATATAGCCTTCTCAAATTAGTCTCTGCAAGTATCTCAGTTGAGCTCTAGTGAGAACAAAATCTCAATAGAAACCCACATGCCTAAAGGGCATGCCATGAATTTCTTACCACTCCAACATGGTGAAGGGATGAAAAAAAAAAAGTAAGCCAAACAAACAAACACGAAACAGAGACAAAAGCAAACAATCGACAAAAAGAGAAAGATAGAGAGAAGAATGAAAGAAAGGGAGGAAGGAAGGAAGGGAGGAAGGGAGGAAGGAAGGAAGGAAGGAAGGAAGGAAGTGTAAGAGTAAAAATTAAAACAGCTCAGCAGAGACCACAAACAATTGACAAAGACCGCAGGACAGCTTCCTGAGCTTGCTGAGAATAGCCATAATAAAAATATCAAGCCCCTCTAGGGACGAGGTGACCAGAAATGTAGAAACAACCAAAGACATATCTTGACCAGTCTAAACATGCCCAAGTGGGTAATGGGCTACCTGGTGTTTATCCTAGAAAGTCTGAGACTTCATGGTCAAAAATAGTGGGCCATCCAACCTGTCAAAATGTTTGCTTACACAAAGTGCTGATGTTTGAAATATCCAATCATATGTAACCGCACCAGAATTTCCCACTTTTCCCTTCCCCCTTGTGCCTCCCCCTATAAAAGTTCTAAACTTCCTGGGGTCTTCATCGAAATTCTCTCCCCTGCATGGGATGAGTTTCGATCCAAGGGCTCTTGTTAGTAAACTGCCTTTTGTCATTGCATCAAGTCAGTCTCTCGTGTCTCCTTGTGTGCGCGCTAATTGGGACTTGAGATTGGGTTCTCTTTCTGGGTCCTTACATTTGGGGCTCGTCCAGGATTTGCGTGATCACCCATGGCACCCGAAGACCTTGGAGGCATATCTGTATGAATGGGAATGGTATGTGGTATGTGTGGTATGTGTGGTATGTGTGGTATGTGTGGTATGTGTGGTATGTGTGGTATGTGTGTTATGTGTGGTATGTGTGTTATGTGTGGTATGTGTCTGAGTGAGATGCCAATGCTTTTGCCGGTTCTGTATTTTGGTTTCTGTTTCTAAGCAGCAGTTTTTGCTGCTTCTGTAGTTTAAGCAGCTTTTGCTGCTTCTGTATTGCAGCTGTCACTACAGATCTTAAGGTTTTAGTGTCTTTGGGGGTCAGACGTGCCCGGAACCACAAGCTGTGACTCTTGGGGGATGCCTCAAAAGTGGAAGGGAGTCTGGGAAGCCAGACTGCCCTGTTTTGGAATGGAGGAGACGCAGTGCTCCTTCTCTGGGGGAAGACGTGGAATCCTTCCCATCTGAAGTTGTGTTCGGCTGTTTTTATAAAATCAGACTCGAGAGAGTAAGAGTGTCTGACTGCCTTAGTCTTGTGTGTGTGTTTGCATTTTTGTTTTAAGTTTTTGTTGAGTTTTGACATGGGACAGACTGACAGACTGTGAAGGTGTCACTATCTTTGACTTTAGACCATTGGACTGACTGTAGGATGGAAAAAAAAGAAAAACAAACAAGAGAGATATGTAACTTGAGTCTGGGGTTGGGCTGCGGTGTGGCTGGTCTGGGTGCTGCTGCTGTTCCCTCTCACGTGCACAGGAAGAGGGTGCATGCGTGCAAGCTTGGGCTCGGGGCGGTGAGACCAGCCCTGCACAGGCCAGAGGGAGAGGAACCCTCAGGCCCCTGGTCTGGGTCGGAGGTCCCAGATACACTGAGAGTGTCAGGCAAGAGACCATCTGAAAACAGGAGGCGGAGTCTGAGGGCCCTGCAGTGCAGGATGGCGGCGAAGGGCCAGTTCTGGTAAGACACTGTTAAGATTTGCTGAGAAAGAGAGGCCAGCTTTGGGTTTGAGAGAGAGAGAGCAGAGTGCAATTTTGGAAACACCGGCTGGCAGGGCTTTCCAACAAGCCATGACAGCGGCAGCCTGGAGACTACATCTCCCAGCATGCAACGGGGCGAAATTCCTATCTGTTACTTCCTGAGGATTGGTACCTCTTTCAGGTCCTGAGATTGCCTCCTCTCAGACCTAGCTTTTCAAGAATAGACAGTAATACTGTTCAGAGTGATAAACGAAGTAGGGACATCATATAGTCGCCCATGTGAGAAAGTTAAGTCTCACAAGCAGGGGGCGGGGCCAGAGCCACTTTTCTCCCCCACGGAGAACTGAGAACTGAGTGGGGAGGGAGCTGCTTGATAAGAAAATGTAGCCGGCCAGCGGAGAATACCTACAGGGAAACAAAGCTATTACACTTAGAACTGTTACTAACTGGAATACCATTTGCTTGTTAACAGTGTATCTTTAACAACAGAAAGAAACTTCTTTTTTATAGTCTCTGCTTCAGACAAGATTTACCTCTTTCTCCAGGGTTGGAGAAAGACATGTTTGAGGAAAATGTTTTATTATAGAGATGAGAGAAGACAACTATGGACATCTGCAGACATCCAATCCTCAGCTGTGTTTTTTTTTTACTCTGCCATTGTTGAAATGATTTTAAGTTACAATGCTGTGCATGTTTGAGAAATCACATACTGTACTATATCTCTGATGTTATCTCCTTATACACTGCTTCTAAATTCTTTCTGAATTGTTTGGTTATATTGGATGCCTATGGAAATTTTACTTACATGTACAACTGTGAATTTCATGACAGAGAAGGTTGCAGATTAACTAAAACCAGTGTTACAGAATGCCATGAACCATCCTTAAGTGTCAATATTATAACTGAGCCAGGGTCTTCTAGAGGAACAGTAATTGTTACCAGCTCTGGGGGTTATGAGACTTAGAAAACAGGCTCTGCTGAGTTCTAGAAAAAAAAGAGAGTGTTCCCCTTAACTTGGTGTGCTGTAGGCTTCAGTGAGGTACAATAAGAGTGTAGAGATAGGTGTTTAAACTATGAACATGAAAGAGAAAAAGAAAGTGTAGACATGAAAGAGAAGAGGAAAGTATAGACAGTGAAAGAGAAAGGAGAGAAGATGAAGATATAAGGGAAAGAGACAGAGAAAGTTTATCATAAGAAAGAGACAGAGGAAGGAAAGAAAGAAAGGCTAAAAAGAAAGTTTGCAAAGAAAGAGATAAACAAGTAGAAACATTGTCCAGAGAGAGGTGAGTGAGAAAGTTAAAAGAAAGCTAGCAAGATTACAGGCAAGAAGGATTGTGGCCAAAGTGCAGGAGAGAAAAGACAAGAGGTAAGATAAGACTTAGACAGACAGGAAATCTGGGTGACAGAAGGCAGAAGCCAGGTAGAAGAAGAGTAATAGAGCAATGCTTATTGGAAAAAGATCAGTGTGCTTACTGTAAAGAGAAAAGACAGACCCCCTGAAGACAAAATTAAAGGCACAGATTAAATTTGCCCAGACAGGACCAGAGATGACCTGGAGAACCCCCCACTTGCCTTAAAGCTAGAGAAAAAAGAGTACCAGCTACATGAGTTTCAAAAACAGCCGGAAGTCCCAGATATCAGTGAATGGCTAACAAAATTCCCACAAAGACATTTAACCTCTTCAGTTTGCTCCCACCCAGAGAAGACTTTTGACATCACCAACTATTCAGCATCCCCCTGACCAATAGATGAGCCTGTTGCTGACTGAAAGGGTGAGCTTTTCACCACTGGCCATGTTAAATCCTGCCACCTTCCTGCCTGTGACTGATGACTCTTCTACCATCCATCACTGTGTTGAACTGGTAAGGTAAGCAGATAGAGGGATTGGCGGTGGTAGGTAAAAATTGAGTACATGGTACAATCTATAGACAAAGAGGACTGCTGACATCTACAGAAATACTGAGAGCCTCTTCGAACCAAAGAAAGTGGCTGTCATCTACAGCCCTGGGCACCAGAGGGCTCAGGACATGACTGCCAAGAAAGCTGCCCAGGGAACAATGATTCTAACAGTTAAGGGTTCCAGAGACTATTTTGACACTCGAGATATCAGTTTCAGATACACCACCAACGACCATCAAGTGATAGACAAATTGGGCATTTGTAAATTAATCCTCCCACAAGAAGAAAGACTGTCTGATTTG